CTTACATACTTACATACTTACATACTTACATACTTACATACTTACATACTTACATATTTACATACTTACATACTTACATACTTACATACTTACATACTTACATACATACATAGATACAAAGATACCTAGATACATAGATGCATACATACATAACATCACAGCACATTACCTCACATTGCACGACAATACGTCCCTACACATACACATACGCATGCGCATACATTACATACATCGATACGTCCATACATACATGCATGCATACATAATCTAACATAACATTCTATAACATTACAGTACATACATGCATTCATGTACAGGTACATGCACCTACACATACACATGCACTGCGCACATGCATAAATGCATTCATGCATGCATGCATACAAACATGCATACAACTTGTTCCAGGTGACACTGGGCATGTTGCCGGGTCAACGATACCCAACCCGCCCTGCAAGAGATTGAACACGTATATTTAATGCAAGACAGGCCCACTCACGTTATACTTGCGGTCCGACTTTGTCATTAGAGGATCTTCATCTGCTCAGCCATTTTTAGAAGCAGTTTTGTCGCGACTCCGATCTGCCATGAGCCGAGCGGAGCGCAGAGCCTGGCGACTCAACTGGCGAGCTTGCTGGGGTGTCTGGCCTTCGCAGGACCTGTGTGTCTGCCGTTCATTTCGTACGGCTGCTCTTGATTTACTGCAGCACTTACTCAACTTGTTAATAGGCCCATTGTCATGAGACGACGTGGTTTTGATTTGTTTGTGGAGTCCGGTGTCACATAAAACCATATTGTAACGGTTCTTTGTTTATCCGCGGCGCCCGGTGTCACAGGGCGAAGTGCTACACTTGCTTGCTTATTCGCGGCGCCCGGTGTCACAGGGCGATCCCTCCACTTGTTTTTGTTCGCGGCGCCCGGTGTCACGGGGCGATTCCTCCTGTTGGTTCTTGTGCGCGGCGCCCGGTGTCACGGGGCGATTCCTCCTGTTGGTTCTTGTTCGCGGCGCCCGGTGTCACGGGGCGATCCCTCCTTTTTGTTTGCTTGTTCGCGGCGCCCGGTGTCACGGGGCGATTCCTCCTGTTTGTTTGCTTGTTCGCGGCGCCCGGTGTCACGGGGCGATTCCTCCTGTTGGTTCTTGTGCGCGGCGCCCGGTGTCACGGGGCGATTCCTCCTGTTGGTTCTTGTTCGCGGCGCCCGGTGTCACGGGGCGATTCCTCCTGTTTGTTTGCTTGTTCGCGGCGCCCGGTGTCACGGGGCGATTCCTCCTGGTGGTTCTTGTGCGCGGCGCCCGGTGTCACGGGGCGATTCCTCCTGTTGGTTCTTGTTCGCGGCGCCCGGTGTCACGGGGCGATTCCTCCTGTTTGTTTGCTTGTTCGCGGCGCCCGGTGTCACAGGGCGATCCCTCCGTTTGATTGCTTTTTCACGGCGCTCGGTGTCACAGGGCGGTCCCTCAAGTTGATTCTTGTTCGCGGCGCCCGGTGTCACAGGGCGAAGTGTTACACTTGTCTGCTTGTTCGCGGCGCCCGGTGTCACGGGGCGATTCCTACTGTTGGTTCTTGTTCGCGGCGCCCGGTGTCGCAGGGCGAAGTGTTACACTTGTTTGCTTGTTCGCTGGGCCCGTTGTCACAGGGCGATCCCTCAAGTTGGTTCTTGTTCGCGGCGCCCGGTGTCACAGGGCGAAGTGTTACACTTGTTTGCTTGTTCGCTGGGCCCGTTGTCACAGGGCGACCCCTCAAGTTGGTTCTTGTTCGCGGCGCCCGGTGTCACAGGGCGAAGTGTTACTCTTGTTTGCTTGTTCGCGGCGCCCGGTGTCACGGGGCGATTCCTCCTGTCTGTTCTTGTTCGCGGCGCCCGGTGTCACAGGGCGAAGTGTTTCACTCGTTTGCTTGTTCGCGGCGCCCGGTGTCACGGGGCGATTCCTCCTGTTGGTTCTTGTTCGCGGCGCCCGGTGTCACGGGGCGATTCCTACTGTTGGTTCTTGTTCGCGGCGCCTGGTGTCACAGGGCGAAGAGTTACACTTGTTTGCTTGTTCGCGGCACCCGGTGTCACAGGGTGATGCCTCCGCTTGTTTCTTGTTTGCGGCGCCCGGTGTCACAGGGCGAAGTGCTTGACTTGTTTGCTTGTTCGCGGCGATCCCTCCAGTGTCACAAGGAGATGCTTCCATTTTTGCGGCTCGTTTGCGGCGCTCGGTGTGAGAAATATACCCCCACTCCTTACCAGCTGGCTACGCATAATTTAACAGATTTACTTGGTTTCCTTCGGCATGTGATTCTCGTGACGCCCGGTTTCACTCGGCGACATGTCAATAGCGAGGTGTGTTCAGGCGGTTTGGCTAAGCTTTTGCAATGTAACAAAGACATTACTTGTTCGTGGGCTGTCACATGCTCTTAGAAGGGATTGACCACAAGCATGTGCATGGGTTTCATGACTGGTGACTGACGTGACTTCGCATTCCGCGCGGTTTCTAGGAGACGATGCCAAAGCCAGAGGAAAAGCCAGAAGAGAAGCCAGAAGGCAAGCCAGAAGCAAAGAAGCGAGCCGTCGAGGCACAGTCGATGGGATGCCAAAGGGCAAGTGTTATTTTCATGACCAAGCGAAAGTAATATTGTGCTCCAAACTTGCCAGGATGTCAGTGAAAGACCTGCAAAAGCCGCAAAGACTGAGAGCATTCATGCTCTGGGCAACTGGCACCGTGTACAGTCAAGGCGCAACCCCGAAATCTGGTATTGGTTTGATTCCCACAGTGGACGGTGCATCTAGCACAGCTTTTCTCTGCTTCCTACGCGCATGTGCAGCACCTTAGCTTCGGGTTGCCCTTTTGAAGGAACAGGTTTGGCAGGTCTAGCGCACACAAGTGCGTTCAAAAAGAAAAACCATAGTCTTAGCGATGCAATGTTTAACAGGACATAGCATAGCAACCTTTGTTTCTTTGACACTAAAAGGAGCATGCTTGGGTGCATTCAATTGTTTGCTTTGCGAAACGAGTGGTCGCACACTTCATGAGGCAGTGAGATTATGAACAGTCTGAAGCACTACTTCTTTACTCGGTGCACAAAGCCTTCTTGTATTTTACGCAGCCTTGCATAGCTAGGTGCTAGCGCTCGCAATTGGTGAGCGATCGTGGCCGCACGGCCCACGCCTTTTGCTTATCATGTATACTGTCTGGGCCAGCAACCAATTGATCGTTTGGAAGGAAGTGCCAAGACTAAATGAAAGGCAAAGCAAAGAGAAGAAGGTCTACTTCTAGGGGCAGGGGGTTCTGGCTCGGTCTTACGAATCATGTTTAGCTCTGGGTTGCCTTGTTGAGGGAGCAGGTTTGATAGGTCTACCGCACACAAGTGCGTTCAAAAGAGAAGCATCGTCTTAGCGACGCAATGTTTCAAAAAAACATGCCACAGCAACCTTTGTTTGTTTGGCACATAAAAGGAGCATGCTTGGGTGCATTGAATTGTTTGCTTTGGGAAACGCAAAGCCTTGTTGTATTCGAGGCAGCCTCGGATAGCTAGGCGCTGCTTGTGCAAAGCGCTCGCATTTGGTGAGCGATCGTGGCCGCACGGCCCACGCCTTTTGCTTAGCATTTTTCGCGCACTGTCTGGGCCGACAAGCAACATATCGTTTGGAAGGAAATGCAAGACTAAATTCAGGGCGAAGCAAAGAAAAGAAGGTCTACTTCTAGGGGCAGGGGGGGTTTGGCTCAGGCAGTAAACATAGACCCCTTGTGCAGGAAAATCATGTCTCAGGCCGGCTGCTGCGAAGTGAATGTTACGACACATGCAGACAACAACACACATACACACATGCGCGCGCTCACTTTTGAATGGCTCAAGTTCAGCGCTGGCTGTCAAAGGTTCGTTCCGATGCACGACTAGAGTCAGGGAAGCTTAGCTGATAGACCTGTTCCAGCGAACACATGCAAACGCGCACGCATGCACAAACAGACAGACACACACACACACCCACACACATACACACACACACACACACACGCGCGCAGCGAGCGTGCTTTATATGGCTCAAGTTTCAGAATGGTCACTCAAAAGAGCATGCGATGTTCGTGAATGTCGGACGCCGCTTCGATGCCCAAGTGTATGTATGACCAATGTAGGGAGACATCGGTGGTGACCTTCGGATTCGCTTGACATGGAGTGCCAGTTTCGCGTACTGGTCATGCTGCAGCCTTCTTGCTCAAACTTCACTCGCTTCTTGCGCTGCTACTTTCGTCCGGAGCTTTGGCAAGTGGGAGCTCAGGGGAGCTGTGTGAAGCTGCGCCCTGTACCCGAGGCCTGTAATTGCTGCTCTCAGAATGGCTATGGCGAATTGCTGCGCACGGGTTCATGGCGGCATGGCTCATGTCACCCTCTACAAAACTCTCCACAGGTCACGGCACCATGCCACCGATCGCACACTGAGGCAGCGTTTTGATTGATGAGGCTGCTGCTGGGCTGGAGGGAGGTGCGGTTTCATTGATCCTCACCTTGTCAGCCAGCGCACTAGATATCGGAGTGCATGACAGGCGCTGGGCTTATGTTGAAGACGAACTGGTGTGACTTGGCGAGGACAGCAGGGTTATTCATGCAATTCAAGTGCACGAAGCTGAGGTGACTACTTTGTCAACGCAATCGGACGTCGGATGGCTTTGGCTCCACAGACGCGCTGGCAACTTAAGCTTGGACACGCGACCCCTGGCACACGTGCTGTCGCCGAGGTAGCGATTTTGGCGTGAGCCACGCGTGGTGTGCCTGAAATGCACTTATCCAAACACATCCTAAATAACTTGCGGGCTTCTAGACAGCTAGTGCTGCCTACAAGGTGATTTCTTCATGGGCGCAATTGCTTCTCGCATGTCCCACCGCTGCTCGACCCACTGTTCGGAGAGGGTGCATTGCGCCTTTGCTGAGACAAAGTCAGTTCGCACGTGTTCCAGGTAGCATTCTCCAACGTCTGATGCTTGGCTACCAAGGGCGCAATTTTGGAACAGGCAAAGCCGCGGTGAGCACATGGCCCTGCGCACACGCAGTATCTACCGGACTATGGTGCGAAAGCAATTGGTGTGTCTTGGCCTGCGTTGCTATTGAATGATGTTGAACGCTGCTTGAGAGACCTTGAATGATCACTGAGGTGATGCTTTGGTGCGGAACATCTGCATTCGACTCGCCAGCACCGCCAAGATGCCTACAAGTGCCTGCATCGTGGATTGGTCTCGGATGCCCAGGCCGAGGTTCTACAAGGGATTCCGGTGCTACGCGCAGCGCAAGGTCCAGGACGCTGCTCGGTCGCAATCCGTTGCAATCAGCTGACCTCGAGCCTTAGATCTTAATGTCGCTTAGCAACGAGCAGGATATCAGCAACATTTACGACGAAAGCGACGGGGAGGAGCTGCGCGTGGCGGAAAGGGGTTAGGGCCTCAGGCTATGACTTTGGGCCCGGACGCGAACTTGAGATTGTTGCAGGATGTGGCCTGTCCCTTGTGATCAACTGGTGCATCTCGGCAAACTGAAGAGTCACGATGTGCCCTGCGCATCCTGCAAGTATAGCGTCTTTTCTTGATCGCTTACGAAGAGATGTAAACTGAGGCAATTACTTCATCGTCGGGTTGCAGACAGAGAGTGCAGAGGAAGCCGCAGTCACCATGTCGCGCAGACAGCGGCGCCGGGCGTACGAGGTGAGGTACTGGGACAATGTGCTGCGCAATGCCCTTGCACTCGCGGATCGAAAGCGAAAGCGACGTGAGCGAGCAGAAGAAGAGATCTTCGCATTCTACGCGGACATGGTCAAGGACGAGATGGCGGAGACGAGTCGCGCAGATCTGCAGAAGGGGAAGGGTTGCTCGGCTATTTGCGGAAGTGTTGTTGCTGCTAATCGCAGTTCGTTTCAAGTCAGGCTTACCAGATCCGCATGCTCCTGGGTATCGCAAGCAACAACGTCGCTACGATGATGTTTGTCTCATCGACGCTCTTCGCTGCTTCGGGCACAAGGTTCCCTTTTGTTTCTATGTTGCGATTAGTTTTGTTGCAATTGATAACTATTGGATTTTTGTTTATATGTAATTAATTACTCTTTTGTGAATAAAGATTTTGATTAGTTAGGTTGATCGATTATTGATTGGTTAGTTTGTGGGATAGTATTGGATTTTTGTTTTTGTTTTGTGGTTGTAGAAGTTTTTTTTGGGATGTATAATTTGTTGTTGTGATGAGCAGGATGGACCATTTTGGGCGATTCGCGATGGTACTCGTTTCCTGGCTCCTTTCTCGACGCTCGACTGCCTATGGTCGTTCCGTTTCCTTTTGTGAGTGTGAACAGTGAAAAGTTGATTAAACAGCTAGAGCCTTGTTCTTCAACGCAGGAAGTCAATCGTCAGATGCCACGAGTGGGCTCCATTGTTGAAAGATGGCGAGTTTGTGGTTGCCAAGAAGGGGCATTTTACTGCCTTGCGTTCCATTGAGGGTGTCTAGCAAGCCAATTTTGGTCGTCGCACTCACACATGGGAGCATGTGTTCTTCTTCCCAGAATGCGCGGATGCGGTATTCCAGATCACGGAGAAGCCTTCAACTTCGGAGCAAGCCAAGGAAGATGTGCGCGGCGGGTCTTCTGGCGCAAGCCAAATCAGCATAGAAAGTGATGACTTGAGCGGTTTGGAACCAGTTGCAAAGAGAACAAGGATGCTGGAGCCGTGCACGAAGGTGCTTACAACTTCGCAACGTGAAGCAGCTGCTGCTATGTGCTTGCGACGCCAAGGTTGCGCGGAGAAGCAGATCGAATGTTTTCTATGGGATCTCCGGGTGGTCTTAGAGCGCAGAAAGTTTGCGATGCAGTACGAGAACTGTGTAACACCGAAGTGCAGCGCAGGCTCTGGCACGGAGGATGCTGCGCCGGGCGGCATTCGCATTCCCTTGTCCTCACGCGCTTCTTCTTGGACACAAGCGAACCTGCAACACCAGCCTGAAGATTTCTACAATCTTACTTTGCCAAATGCACAGTTCGACCTTCTACGCTTACAGAACACCCACACACGAGACGGAGGGCTGCGGTTCGAATCCGAATCCCACAATGATGTGAAAACCTTGAATTCCGTCACGGGTCTTGTGCACAAGTTTGAGGAACCCTTTGTCTCGGACGAAGTCATCAGGATACTCTTAGAAAATTGAGGGCCCCACGCTTTTGAATACCAGCAGCATAGCGCAAGTTATCAACGGACTAAAAACATGTGTCTGCAGGAAGATGATGGCAGGTCCCCGGTGGCCGCGTGAACCATATATGAAGAAGCCTTGCAGCACGCCGATGACGCCGGAAGAAATCAAGGACATGTGGGCGCGCAACGCCAAGCTAGCCGCGAACCAGGGGACCTGGACGCATTTACAATGCGAGTGCATCTTGAACGGTGGAGCCGTCGCTGATGGAGCTGGCTCCATGGAGATGCAGCTGTTCCGTACCTTCTTGCTCGGCTCGCCCAAGTTGATCGCCTACCGCACTGAGTGGGCTATATTCGGGGAGCGGGAGCGCCTTGCAGGTACCATTGATTTCGTGGCCCGCAATGATCGTGGAGAATTGGTCCTGTACGACTGGAAGCGAACGAAGCAGCTGCGGCACAAGTATGCGAATGTATTCAACAGCATGACGGGCTTTCTTTCACACTTGCCTTCATGCGCCGGATTCACGTACCGTCTGCAGCTGAACTGCTACAAGTATCTCCTGGAGACATATTACGGCTGTCGTGTAGCTGGAATGTGTGTGGTGGGCCTGCATCCAGACAACTGGCCACAGCCATTTGTGGATGAAGTTCCGAGCATGCCCCAAGAAACCCATGCCCTTATGGCTTTTCAGAGATCGCTTGCAATGGATGCATGCGGCGGCAGCAACGCGCAAGATGAGTTGGACAATGTCAGCCGCGTCAACAAGCGCTGTCGTGTGTGGCTGCGGCTACTATCAAACCACGCGCAGTTGTCAAGCGTGCTGCCCATGACTTGCCTTGCCCTGCCAAATCCTCTGGACTCCAAGCTTAACAAAAGACCATGGGAAAGGAAAATGCGCGATGCCAGAATGCTCCTGCGCATGCTTAGTGAAGGAGACACGGAAGCACTATACCGTTTCTACCACGCCAGATTTCCTCAAACAATTGCAAACCACGAGTGGCTCCCCATCATGTTGCCGGACGCTAGACAGCCGCTTCGGCAAAGTCTTGAAGATTGGCAGACTGAGGTACTCAGGGTTTGGATACTCTCGCTGCTACTCGATGCGGACGACGACAAGCTGCGTGATGATGTCTGCGGAGGGTGCGAACAAGAGCTTGCTGCTTCGCACTTCGACTTGGTTATGCGCATTCTGGCAACCTCTGACGCTTGCATTTCTCCTACAGCAAACCACGTGGATCAGCTTATCCGTTTTCACCAGCGAGTTGCGGTTCACATATCTTTGCTGCGTGAATGGCCTCACTTGGTTTGGCTGCTTCCAAGTCCGCTAGACACGTACGCATCAGCAAGCAGCTTCAACGCTCGTCTATCAGAGACTTTGATGCTTTTTGAGCTTCTGGAGAACGGGCATTTCAAGAGCTTCGCGCTGGTGTGCTACACGCTTTACCACAATGAGCTCGCGCAGGAGGATTGGCTCCAACACTATCTTGATGCTGCTCAAGAGTTCCCTAGGTGGCAGGACCAAGCTGTGCGATGCTTGATGCTCGTGCATCTGCTTCGGCTGCCTCAAAGGCCTACAAGACTGGAGCACTTGTGTGCTTCAAATGCTTTGCCCCCAATAGCTGAAGAAACGGCGGAGCCGGATGACGTGTTAGGAGGCGGTCTCAACGACTCGCAGAACACTCAGGACACTTTCCGACAGGAGCTGTCGCAAGAAATGCAGAGTCGCTTGGAAGGTGTGGAAGCAAGCCCCATCTCAGTGAAGCGTGAAAGGCTAGATCCGCAGGGCGCAGCAGCCAGCAGTAGCCAACACGCAGGTGCACCGCACGAGACCAAGAAGGAGGAGCCCAAGGAAGATGATGACGGCGCCCCGGCGGAGCCGGAAATCAGCGTGGACACCGCCACATGGAGCGTTCTACAGAAGAGGAGGTTGCTGCCCGGCGCTGCCAGGTCTGCCTTTGATTTTGCAGACCACTTCAATACACTCTCAAATCAGAACACGCAGTTTCAGACGCAAGCAGCTGAACCCATCGACAATTCCCACACAAGAGCAAACAAAGAGGTTCACTGTGTTCGTTCGGGAGAGGCTCCACGGCGTGCCCGACACGATCGTCCGGCTTTGCGTTGCAGCCCTTGCGGTGTTCCGCGTGCGCATTGTTGATGTATTCATGCGTGAGCACGCTTTCCTACTATGGATCATGCAAGGCAACAAGCAGCTGCGCTTCCACGCGGGGGATTGCTACCTGCTGCATCATAGTGGGGCATGGCAGCAATACAAAGGTGTACCGCCAGACTGTGGCCTGGTCCAAGAGTTTCTGATGCAGCTCGAAGGTATTTTCCGGCGGATGCCCAGAACCGTTGCACGCAGCCCTGTAGATATCACAAAACAATATTCGAGATGTGGAATTCGGACAATTCCGAGGACAAGGACTTCTTGGAGCGCTGCGTTGATGCTTGCCTCGGCGCTGATGTGTCTAGGAGAAGAGGGCATGCTGGACAAGATGAAGAGGAAGAAAATGGCAACGCGAGCAAGGCATGGCCGCTCGATGTTGCAAAGGTGCTTGTGCAGATAAAGCGCGATCTGAGCCGCGAGCTACAGCACGAAAAGCTTTTCAATTACATGATTGAATGGTGTGACACGAGCAAGGAGCCGGTGCCTAGTATTTGCTACGAGGATTGCTGCGTATTGTACGATTCGCAGGACTAGGGTTTGATTTTGATTACGTGTTTACATCTACGTAAAAGCATTGTGATGTTTATCATTTTCCGAAGAACTCACTTCTGCTCAGGACGGCCCGGCAGTGCAGGTGACGCGTGCTGAGCTGGAGAACTGCTATTTGCGTGTTCCTCACTGTATCAAGGGCACGATTCCTACATACATCATGCAAAGATTACAGAAATTCTACCAGGAAACGTTTTGGGGCAACCTCGAAGTGTTCCGGTGCAACCAGGCAGCGCAGGCCTTGTGCCGCCGAGGTCTGAACGTGGTGCGTCTCTTCATAGGCTTGAGTAGCGGGGGAGTGGGGCAGTCTCTATATTCTGCACACTTGCAAAGCATGTACGCCCACAATTTCGCATATTTCGATCCCAATATTTGGTGGAACGAGGACGAAATGCGGAAGCAGGTGGAACAACTCAACGGATGCTGCATTCTTACTGGACAAAAGACTCCCGGCACCAACCGCCGCTTGAGGGAGGACCTGTTCAAAAAGTTCATGTCCGGGGAAGGCATCTCTGGCAGAAAGCCCTATGGCTTCCGCACACGGATGATTAGCTGTGTGGGCTGGAAACGCCTGGAAGCCAACCGGATGTTCGCCTTCAGCGACGTGACCAAGCGAGACTTCAACGCGATCTTGCGCCGAGCACTGGTTTGGCGGGTCAAAGCGAGGTTTGAGGACCCTCAAGCACTGGCGAGCGCGTACGAGGACATCTCCAAGGATGGCATTTTCACCAAAGATCCAACCTTGAAGGACTTTCTCATGTCCGGCCCTGCCATAGCCGCCGGCTTGCAGATGCAGCACGCTTTTGAGGCCACACACGGCGAACAAGATTGCCGAGACATCATCGAGAACTACGCGCACTGGGGCAAGGATCATGGTCTTACTGAGGACACGATGCGAGAGGCATGTGGACTGGCTCCGCGTGACAAACGCGAGATGTCCTCGCGAGCCGCCGCTGTGATATCGGTGGAGGCGGAAGCGGAAGATTTGACAGGGGTCGACGTGTGGGAGAAAATGCACGAATGGCTCGTCAAGCATTGCCTGGATAGTGCGCGATTCGATTTCTCCACTAAGATGTTCAACAGAATGCGCATCCCTGACGCGCCCAACATGAACAAGGCGGATCTCCTGACTGAGTTGAAAAAAAGCAATTGGTGCGCCTCGTGAAAGGCAAAGGCAGCAGATCAGAAGAGACATGGACACCATTGCTGACAACCCGACGAGCTGAGTAAACTCATTCACCACACAGAGAAGCAAGCAAGCGAAGTTTATACGGAGCATCATGCGCTGAGTGCTTTGGAGCAGTACGTATCCGGGATTGCGTGCAGAGCTGAGAACAGTCAGGTCCTGCTGGATGTCTACATTGCTGCCATCAAGGGTACAAAAAGAGCGGGAGCCCGAGCCGTCAAGAAGGACAACCCGGGGGAAGTGTACGAGGAAAGAGCTTCCAAGATCGAGGCGCACGAGAAAATGTGCGAGACAGTCCTGGACATGCAATTGCAAAGTGCAGAGGCCGCGCCTCCGGATTGCAAGCGGCGCAAGAGAAGCAAAGGTCAAGAAGCTAGCTCGCAGGCAGGTGAGCCATCGCAAGTTGCTTCGGCGGGCAACCGGCGCAAAGTGGACGTGCAGTATTACTATACTTTGCCGGACACCATTCGGACTCGCCAACAGTGCCAGTCCAGCATCTCCGCGCAGCGGTTTTCTCGCAGATTGCAAGCGCTACTTTTGCCTGACACAGTCGACCTGGATATACACAATTGCATTTTCACGGTCATGGATCAGCTTTTGACAAGGCTGGAGCCTTTTCCACCGCTTCCTGAGCAATGTAGAGTTGCTTTGCACAGATGCGCTGCTGATAGAGATGCAGTGTGTCGTGAGTCTCTGAACACGAGTCCTGAGAAAGGAAAAACATTGCTGGTGTCGCTCCTTTACGGGGCAGCGCCGCCAGGAGACTTGGTGAAGAACGAGTTTGTTCAGAAGTTGCAACGGGTGTCCATCTACTGCCGCTGGCTCGCCATTGGGCTGCTGCACCAAGAGTATGAGTACTTCTTAAGCAAGCCAGTTCCCAAAAAAAGTCCAGATATGTCAGCGCTGGCGCATCTGTACTTTGCTGCCGAAGACTACATCTTGCAAAGCTGGGCTAGTCTCTTAAGGCCAATGAACCTAGCTCACCTGTCCTTGCATTATGATGGAGTCCGTGTGTGGCTGCCGGATGGGCAATCGAGTGCATCCTTGATAGCCCTTTCACAAGAGCATATCAAAGGGCAGACCGGGTTCGCTGTCTCCATCAGAGAGAAATGTCACTTCACCGTGCTCGAATCACTACAGCAAAGAGCGTGCGGCAGCTTCACAGAGAGACATACTGGGCCCGTGTTGAAGCAAGACGGCAATTGCATCCCGAGCGTGTTGGCGTATCTGAAGGACAACGAAACGGAGATTGCTCAGTTGTTGCAGGCTGCAAGCAGCGAGAACACATGGCATCATGCCAGAGGAAGCCGACCATACCGTCAGTGTGTGGAATATTTTCACGCAAGCTTGTCCCCAACCTTAGACCTTCAGGATTTGACACCGGGAAAGTACCTTCTGCCTTCCGAGTGCCGTGGTCGCCCTCACTGCGTTGGGTTCTCCTTCGCATCCAAGGCCCCGCTTTCCAAAAAAATAACTATTTTGCAAAGTGTTGCGGTGCTTGCACTAGATTGGCCCTATAACCTGCATCCTGACAAGGACGGATTGGTGCACATTGTGGATGTGGCACGCTGCTGGGACGTTTCATTTGAAGACTTCTGCAGCTGTGTGCTGGCTGGAATCGACTCCATCACCGTTGTGTACTTCAGGCTTTGTTAGGAAGAGCGCGAATGTCCGCCTCATCTCTTGCCTTTGCTGGACCTTCAAGCTGCGGCAAGCGACAAGGATGTGGCTTCAGATATGTCCGATCATGTCCAAGCTGATGATCATGCCAGCGACAGTGAAGATCAACGCCCACAGGACGCAGCTAACTTTGGAGGCAACTGGTTGGACGACTTGGCCAATGTTACAGTGGACACGGACTTGCTTACAATGTTGGAGGCAGAAGTTGTTGATCTGGTAGACTCAGCGTCGAACGGGGATCTGCCGCGGATGGGGTCCCAATATAGGTGCCCAGCGTGCCCATGGCGAACATTTACAAGGCCTGCCCGCGTGAAGGCGCATTTGCGTCGATACCACAAGAAACACAACCAGTTTGTCGCCTCCGGCACAAAACAGATCCGGATTTTGATGCGCTTGCACGACTCGGACCAGCTTCTGGGACGCATGCGACAGCGGTACTTACAAAGGAGCGCTTCTTTGCTTCGATCGCAAGTGAAACCTGCTTTGTCACCTACTGTGAATGCCATTGATCGGCAGATTCGTATGGTGTTGCACAAGAGTGGACCACGCCTGGAACGCGCTGATGCAATCGGAGGAAAGCACGTTCGAAGAGCGGGCAACATTCTTTACACCCATGACTTTGCAGAAGAGCTATACCGAGAAATGTTGCTGAACCATGCGAAGGCACGGTACAAACAAATTTGTTTCATTCTACTCTGGTAAGAAAGGGCTGATTGCATTGTTCAAGATTCTTGTGTGCAGGCGAAAGCTATCTGGCCTCGTTTCCTTCTAGCAGCAGCATCCTCCAAGAATAAGCTGGCAAACCTGCTGCCGATGCACACCAAGTCTTGGTGGCCAATGGTCGAAGATGTCTTTTCGTCCCCGCCATGTGTCAACCTTCACCAAAGCCTGGTCAGTCAGGCAGCGCATCACGGTGAGTTTCAAAGCGTTTCAATAGATGGCACTTTTAGAATTTGCATGTCTTTGATGGGCCAGCCAAAAGTCAACATACCTGCAGACGCAAGAGGATCCGCAGCAATTCCCGAAAGCGAAAGCTTCCAGCGCGTCATCACAGTTCGCGGCCGCACAGGCGCAGTCTTAGGTATGGCAGGCTCTCTCTCTGAAGCATCAGACTGCATCGCGGAATGTCTGCAGAATCTTTTTCCAGTCAGTGCTCTTCAGCAAGTAGAGCATGTGTCCACCGACGCGCCATCCGCTAAGCTTTTCGACGTGCTCTCCCACATCCTGCCAAAGATCAAGACAATGAGCTTAGATCCCACACATTTGCCGATGAAGTATGAAGCAGTGATGGGTTCTTGCCTCAGTTGAGAACATGATGCTTGTCTTTATCTTTGTGTGCGTCTTACTGTGATCTCAGGCGGGAAGCGAACTGAAGGCGCTGCATTCATTCGTGTTATAGTTGTGAAAGCAAGCAGCGTTGAAGGTGCAACTGGTGTTGGTTGCGCATGTGCTTGTGACATGAAATAGCCATGAACTCTCTTGTAGGCTCACGGGTACTGCGGTCGATCATGGCCAAATTCAGCGCCATCGACGACACAGTCGTAGAAGCGATGTGGGGCCCGGCCTTCTCTGGCGCAAACGCCCCCCACCTCCTTGCCCCGGAAGAGTTCTTGCGGAATCAAATCCTTGAAGGGTCCATGCCAGTCAGGAGAGCAAAGAACATATTGAACGGGCTCGCCGGTCGCACAATGTGGCGAGCTCGCATTGAGTTCATTGAGTCCATCGCTGCTTTGTCTGCCGTGTATAGAGAGGAGGAAGTTACCAGGCACAAAACGTCCTCTTTTTAAAATCTTGTGGGCATCTACTGCGTTGGGTAAGGCTGAATGGCTGTTTAACAACCTGCGTTTCCGGCAGAGCTTGTCAAAAGCTTCCCAAATTCTGATGCCGGTTGGAACAACCAGCAATGAAGCCTTGCACGCTGAACTCAACAATTGGTTCCGGCAGATACAGAGTTTGCACAAGGCAACTCTATCCTTGAAACTTCGTATCATTCTTTTATCTAAGCTCGTTGCGCACAATGCTGCCTTGTATGCGCCGACTGCTCGCCAAATGCCGTCGACGCACGTTTTGGCGAGGAAGCTCGGGCAGCCATTGTTCACGGCCAAACAATGGCGTGTGTGGACTCAGGACTTGATTCAAGACGGGACAGTGTCAAAAGCCACGCTGCCCTTGCGCAGCTCAAGGCTTAGAGACTCTGAAAGAATTCGTTCGCACACTCTGAAACGACCCGCTGTTGCAGGTCCCAGTAGTACTGCCAGCAGCAGCAGGTCAGAACTTAAACATAGGAACGTGTTCGCGCTAAGTCGCACGGAGGGCGTCCGCCGAAGCGGCACGACAATGCGCCGGCCTGCGGGCAAATGAATTAGCAGCCCAAACGAACGACCAGGAAAAAGGCGTGACCCAATTCTGAATGCATGCAAACATGCATGGGATGTGAACAAACAACATTCAGCAATATTGCAGCATATGCCGATGGAGCCAGCGTAGTCGTCGGTGTGGGGCACGCTGGAAATGCCTTCAGCAATCTTGAGGGATGAGCTTGCGCACACACACGGCTCACAATCAAGCTGAAATGTCTAGCGATTGCTAACGTCCTAGCTGGAGATAGCGCTTAGTTCCGCGATGCAATGTATGCAGTGCGGCCTGTGCCTGAGGCAAGTGTTCGATGGAGTTGTCGCGTCGAAGGCAATGTTCGAGAATGCTGAAAGGTCGCATGGAAGATCGTAGCAGTTTCGAGGTGAGAGGTTGTCTTGGTTTCAGGACACACAGTCTTGGACTATGCTGGAATGACAAGACCAATTCCGCAGCCGTGTGGCGTGATGCTTAACGCTCCAAATTAATGTGTGCGAACGCCGGGTGTTTTTGAATTGACCATGTCGCGCACGCGCACACACACACAAACAGACATTCACGTTGCAAGTTGTTGAGTGTTGTAGAAACGCTGTGGACTGTTGCTAGGCCTTGTTAGTCAGGGCTCGCGAGCCCAATGCAGCGCTAAAGTTGTTTGACCTTATCGTGCTTGAAAAGACCAAGATCTGCGCAGCAAGCCCAAGGTTGCATGGCATGTATGTTTGAACTTGATGGTCTAATGCAGACAGTAGTTGCTAATGAAGAAGCACAGCGTTCACATTATACACATTGTTCCCTGCTACGGGAGGGAGGGAGGGAGGGAGGGAGGGAGGGAGGGAGGGAGGGAGGAGGAGGGAGGGAGAGTGGGAGGAGGGAGGGAGAGGGAGGGAGGGAAGAGGAGGGAGGAGAGGAGGGAGAGGAAGGTGGAGAAGAAGGAGGAGGGGGAGGGAAGGGAGAGGAGGGAGGAGAGAGGGAAGGACAAGGAGGGAGGGAGGCAAATATGGGAAGCAAGTCTAATGCAAGTTGCCACTCAAACGCTTGCTCTTTTTTGCGTTGCACATTTCCTCAGGCAAAGATAGTATGTTTCATCATCTTGCCCGCGAGAGTCCTTCTCGCTCTGATTCAATCGCTGAAAGTACGAAGCACCTCGTGGACCTCGGTAGACAGCTCCGCAAACTTCTCGGGGTGGAGCCGCTGCACAAGCAAATGCCCTTCTTGCGGGCCACTCTGCCGACTTTGTCCTCCTTGGCGCCTGGGACAGGCGAGGTTGCATACAAGCTTCTTTGCCCATTGTTGGATGAGGATTATCACTCTATTTGACTCTTGATTGCTTTGCAGTGCTTTGTGCTTGCTGTGCTTTCAAGCTCGAAAACCGTACCCTTTTAGTACAAGTGTAGTATGCGAAGCACACTTTGGCAGAATCGCAACTGTTCAGTGCACGTGTAAAAAACAAATTGCACTTTGGCAGCTCCAGCTCAAATAACGATTTTTGCTGTAGAAGTGTAGCAATCAGAAACCGTGAGGATGTGCGGAAAGGAACATCGCTATCGTTGAACTTATCGCTTTGGTATCGCTTTTGCTCAGCTATTACAACTCGTTTAAATCTGAATCAAAATGATTTACATTCAAGCACCTGCAGCCATATCCAAAACAGAATAGAGCCCCTGAGCACTCCTAAAACATTAAGCCCCGCGCCTTTGAGGGCATCATGAAAGATGGCATTCAGTGGCTCTGAGGAGCAGGTCTCCAGCAACCATTCACCGTACTGCCGGCTGTCTGTGCAGATTGTCAAAATGCCCTGCGAGGCAAAGCTGATGGGAACTGGTGGCAAAATGGGCAGTGAATTCATGGCCCAACATTCACTGCACAAAAACATGATCAAAATGAACTGTGCAACAGGGCAGCCTCGTCCTGCAAGGCGCGGGCGCAGGCTTTCTGCAGAAAACTCTGGGTCAGCAAATGTGGCTTCAGCATCTCCTTTGTCACAAGCTTCTGCTGCACGTTGGAGATCTGTTTGATGCGGTGGCTCTGGGTGGTTGATGAATATTTTGCTGTAACTTCCTGCAGCTCATCACAAACTCACATGAGCACTCACACATCAAAGGCCCACTGCATTCTCCTGCAATGCGCATGTCTGGTTGCGTATAATGTGTTCTGCTTCAACCCAAACAGCCCTTGTCAGCAATGCGTGTGATCTTCTCAGCGTTGCATGGCCAGGCCGCGTGTGGCTCACAAACGAAATGAACAGCTTGACACCTACATCTCCATATTGGGTTGAGAAAGGGTCCAAGAGATGTGTTGAGTGGGTAGCGGTGCACCTCAAGTGCTGCAATATTAAGAATCATCAAACATGACTCAGCGTTGCTCTGTGGGCTTGACTTAGAACTCACTGAGGCCATGGCCATCAGTGCCAACCCACTACAGTAGCATGCCAGTCATGGAGGGCCGATGTATTGAGGTGCATAACGTCTACACACAAGCGCCCGTGCAAATCGTTTGCGTTACGTGCGAGCCCCTTATACAGTAAGGGTGTCCAAAAATATGTTGTTTAAACCAAGCAACTTGCCGATACTAAATTTATTACGATTAGGCAATGCCAAAGCAAGTCTGAGTTCTCATCTGACCCAAACAATTCGCTCATTAGAGGGCCCTTTGCACTTGTTCAGCACAATCTGCTTTTGTTTCGTTTCGTGTAATTTAACCCCTCACCAAACAGCATTCTGTTTACTTTGTATGGTCCGAGAAGGGGGAGTACACTGCAATAGCAAACCCCTCACAACCCCCAAAACTTGGCTGCCCGGACCAAGGCCCCTGATAAGGAAAACAACTCCCCATTCGATCTGTTTTAGGGGGAACCTTTTATTATTAGGGGGAAGGGATTGAAGGGCAGGGCATTCATTATGCACAATGTGATATCAATCGCTTGTTTTGCAGTCCCTCTGTCAGAACCTTGTGCATTTTGGGCACTCACAGGCCCACAGGCCCTGCCTGGCATCAAGCGCTTTTCCAGCGCCATCCGCGCGTCCCCGACAATGAGCCCAGCGTTGCCAGCTTGGCTAAGGCCTCGCAGGGCAAAGCGCTGGAAGCACCTGGCAGCCCGGTCAAAGCGCAGCTCACAGGCCACCCAGTCCGCCGAAGGGTCGCGCAGCGCCTGCATGATGCATATGTCAAACTGAAACATACCGAAACTAACTGACTGTTATGTCATGAATGAATTATGTTGTATTCAGATTTGGTTTGCACACAATGCACGCTACGCACACAATGCATGCTACACTATGCGCACGTGTGCCTGAGAGCGCAGCCACTCTCCAGAACCACTGCAGAACTCCAGGTGCAGTGGGCGATCTCGATCTTCTTCAAATCAAATCGCCGGGCACTTTGGCTGGACTCCTTCTTTTGTTTCTTGCTTGGCTGCTCTGTAAACGCTGAGTTGAACCTCTTTGATATTCTTTTGGCCGCAGATGTGCTTGAGTCCAAACCGAATTTGTCACAAATCCTGCGGCGCATTGCGTCCCCCAGCGTCTCTGAATCAGCGACACTGCAGTCACCATAGTCCTCAAAGCACAGAGTCCTACCTGAAGGATCAAAGTGTAGTAATTTTACATTTTACATGCGTACCCAAAATTACTACACAAAAATGGCTTTTGTGTAGTAAAATCGTTATGTAGTAAAATGTGCAAGTTTACCACACATGTACTACACAAAATCACTACACATTTTTTTACAGATGTGTAGTAATTTTACTACACTGTGTAGTAATTTTCTGTGTAGTAAATTTTGGTGAAATTTCCAAAGTGCATCCAAACTGCGTTCAAACTGCGTTCAAAATGCATTGGCTTTGTTTTTGCCAGTTTCCGAGGCACGTCAAACCTACATCAAACCACAGACAAACTGCATCGAAAGCACATCGAACTACATCCAAGCTGCATGCAAACGGCATCAAACTACATCAAAACTACAATACTAAATTGCATCAAAACTACATCAAACACATCAACACTACATCAAACTTCATCAAATCTACAATTTTTTAAGAGGTGGGACGCCAGTTTTATTCAATTTGGAACACAACGAGAATTAAATCAACTATGTAGCACAACATGTCCAGTCACCCACAACTGCCAATCTCATTGTTTGTGCGATCACCCTGCGAGCTGAGTATTGCGCTATAGAGGGGCGATCTTGTGAGTCGTGAAACTGTGGGGCTGGGCAAAAAGGGTTTTGAAGGGAGACGCGGCGTGATCAGTGGGACAACTGGAAGGGCGCTATATAGATTCCCAAGAACTGCACAAAAACATGACAGGAAAGGTGATCTTGCGGGCTGAAACTGTCTGGGGCTGCCCAGTCCCATCATTTGATCTTGTGGGTTGAAACTGGATGGGAAAAGGTGTTGAAGGGAGATGCGGCTGAACAGTGGGACAACTGGAAGGGCGCCATAGATGCATGAGAGCTGCGCAAAAAACATGACTCTTGAAGGGCGATCTTGTGGGTTGAAACTGTGTGGCGGGGTGGGGGAAAAAGTCGGCAAATAAGAATCTGGGGCATTCTTGGATTCATTATAGATTTAGGGCATTTTCAGTTTTATCAGGTTTCAAGTTTGTTTACCTATCCTTTCGGTGGCTTCAAGGTTGTCTTGTGGCGGAACTTGAGCCCAAAATGGAGCCCAGTCCCGTCATTTAATCTTGTGGGTTGAAACTGGAGCTGGGAAAAGGCTTCGTGAAGGAAGACGCGGCACGAACAGTGAGACAACTGGAAGGGCGCTATGGATTCGTCGTCAGTGTCGACACGAGCTGTGTGTGGAAGAACGTCACACACAGGAAAGCTGCAAGCTCTGTTCGCGGCTTGGACTTCTGCGCCGGCCGGGTCTTTTGCGGCTGTGTCCGCAGATGATGGGTAAACATGAGCACGCAGAGGCTTTCCGCGCAACAACAGCTATCAATTTGGTGTTTCTTTTTATAAACAGAACAGTTTGGTCAGCACACAAGTGTACACTGGGTGAAAACTATTCACAGCAAACAATCTTGTGCGCGGCGGCGGCGCAAGCTCTGGCACATCATATGCAGAATCAACAGTCCAGCTGCATCATCTGTCTCTGAACTTTGCCGGAAAAAGCTGACGGGACGTGGGTCTCTGCCCACATTTCATTCTCGCTCCATTTGCACTCGATATTTTCTGGGTCCGTAGTGACCGATTCATTTAAGACCTCGGTCTTCCAAGCGGGCATGACGCTGCGCTTTGCGCAATGTGTCCTGGAACCACGCGACAGGAAAAAAGAGAAACGAAAACGTTCCAGCGCGTGGAGTTGAGAAGCCCATTTGCGCCATCCACGCTCAAAGAAGTTCCCCTTGCAGCCAAAGACTGCCTGGCGTAGATTCACGGTGGCTTTGGTGGAGGTCCCACGGTGTGCGATCCACATGCCCTCGCCATCGTCCCACATGATGAACAGCTTCTCGCCGTCCGCTGCGAATTCTGTGCCCTTCTGGCATTCCCAGTGGGCATGTTGGTTTGCTTTGTCCTCGCTTAGTATAAGTGTGTGGCTTGAAAAAGAAGGCAGAAAATGACACAGCCCTCGCCGATGCGCAGGCAAAAAAATATTACGCGCCCAAATGCCACCCAGCAAAGTAGAGTTGGTCTGAACTCGCAAGAGGCAACTTTGTGGTTTGCTTTTCAACAGGTCGCTGGTGCCAACGTGTAGTTGAAGGCATAGCCGCGCGCGAAGGCCGCCGTCGTGCCAACGGTAAGCTTCGCTGGCAGTTGGGAGGAGGCTGGAGCCGAAACCAAAGCCATTTTTTAGTTGTTGTTTATCGCAGGTTTCAAGTTGTTTGTTGTTCTTTTTTTTACATTTTTTGGTTGGCTTGGCGGAATATGAGCCCAAAATGAAGCTCTGCCACTGAAAATTCCACGAACTACATCAACCACAGCAAGAATTCATTCAATGTAAGAATTTGGGCATTCGATTTAGGACATTTTCAGTTTTTTTTTTATCACAGGCTTCAAGTTGTTTGGCTTGGCGGAATATGAGCCCAAAATGAAGCTCTGCCACTGAAAATTCCACGAAACTACATTAACCACAGCAAGACCTCATTCAATGTAAGAATACATTTTCAGTTTTTTATCACAGGTTTCAAGTGTCTTTTTACATTTTTTGGGTTTGGCGGAATATGAGCCCAAAATGAAGCTCTGCCACTGAAAATTCCACGAAACTACATCAATGTAATTTGGGCATTAGATTTAGGACATTTTCAGTCTTTTTCTGGCTTGGCGGAATATGACCCCAAATGTCCACAAAGCAGGCAAAATCTGCGCGCGCCTTACGCCACAAACCAAGCAAAATCTGCGCGCACCTTATGTCCACCACAAAGCAGGCAAAATCTGCGCGCACCTTATGTCCACCACAAAACATGCAAAATCTGCGCGCACCTTATGTCCACCACAAGGCAGGCAAAAATCAGCGTGCAACAAATGTCCACCCTAACCGAAGGTTATAAGGCTCGCGCCCCCTGCCGCCGACCCACTCTAGGTTCACTCTAGCCCCACTCTAGGTTCACTCCACGTTCACTCCGTGTCGAACGGAGGCTGCATTCACTGCTAAGGGGCGAAGGATTTGTGAATTTGAACCGCAGAAAAAACACTGTGTTTCGATAGTTTTGTATGGATTCAAGGCCGGGCGCAAACGTGGAACATGTGGAAACCTGCTTAGCAGGCAGGGCTCACCTCTC